CACAGTAAGCTCAGCCTTTCCAAGATCCAGCCACTGAGCCCGGGAGAATGCAGAGTCCGGAGCCTGCCAGGCTAATTAGAAGAGCATGGGACGCACATCTGGTAGCTATTGAGGGAGAAAAGCATTGGGAACAGAGGAAGCAAAGATTTCCTGCAGCTCAAAGCAGGCGAGAGGAATGTCCCACTTCAGAAAGAGGCCCCAGGGCACTGGCCTGTCCCATACACAGAGGCCCCACCGTGCTGACCTTTCCCTCCACTGGCCCCTGGGGCACTAACCTGGCAACGAGGCACAAGCAGCGCGGCCTCTCCTCACCAGAGCCCCTAGGACCAGCAGCCCTTCCTGCCTCTTTCCTTGCACCATATGGGTCTTCAGGAACCAGCTTCTCCTGCCTAAGATGCCGGCCCCAGCATGCAGGGGTCCCCCTTCCCACATTCAGACTCTGACGCTCCCCCCATATGCACCCAGAGGCCCTCAAGCCCCATCCCCACCCCACTGCGAGCTCAGACACTTGAGTCTCCATACTGCAGAAACATCACCAATGCCAGTCACTGTGGCGCCCCCAAAACATCCCTCTTTTTAGACTGCGTGATCAATGAGCCCAATTCAGCCCGGTGAGATCACCTACACCTGGACACAGTGGGGTAAATGCTGCTAATCGGAATGGGAGCATTTGTTAGGCCTCTTTGCACTCCTTTGTAAACAAGCACCCCGGATGCCAGACCCAGGGTTGCTTGGAGGAAAGTCATGTACAAACACATGCCCATCTTGTCCCTTTGCCTTGTGAACTCCATTCCCTGCGACGCTTCTCCGTGCTTCCACTTGCGCTCCAGGGCCCCTTTGCCAGGGTCGGGGAGAGCTGCACGGGCAGCTGTGAGGAGCCTGGGTGCCTCCACCTGCCTTGGGCAGAGGGCTGCCCTCGTCTCCACCTCAGGCAGGGGCTCCCCCCCACACACACACACACTTTTGGGAAGGCTCCAGTGCCCTTGCCCTGGGCTGGGGCTACCTGGGGCCAGCCTGCAGCCAGGGACTCTGGGAGGCTGGAGCCAGTGCTCGTGCCGCCCGCCCACCCAGCACTATGGAGCTGGGGGCCGTGCTGCCTTCCCGCCGCTCCAGGGCTCAGGCTGGGAGCCACGTTGCCTGCCTGCCCGCTTGCCAGGTGCTTCGGGGCTGGGGTTGGAGGCTGGCGGCGGGAGCCTCTGGGCTCCGGTGGGGGAAAGGCAGGACTGGTGGGGCCCTAGGAAGAAGGGGCTGGCCGGCCGGCTGGCCAGGGGCTAGCCTTCCCAAGCCTGCGGTTCACCCGCCGCCCATGAGCCGCTGTATTTTCAACCGTTTTGATCTGTTATCGCTGAAACTGTGGAAGTGGGAACACAGCAGCATCTTTAGCTGGAAACCGGAACTTTTAACATGAGATTTCCCCATGTATTGTGGTAATAATGCAGATCTATAGACCCACATAAAAAAAGTCCCGGCAGATTAAATTATTTTTCTGGCAACTGGCAAATCCATAAAAAAACCAGCCAGGCCGGTCAAATCCCGGCCAGGTAGTAACCCTAGTTTCAGCGCAAAGAGCCATGGGATACGTCCCCAGATGTAGGGCTACATATTTCAGCTTCCCAAAAAGAAGATCCTGCCGGAGGAGGGAGGAGGGGGTACCTGTGGTGGGGGTACTCCCTGTGATGGTGGCAAGGCACCTGCCCAGGACATAGCAACAACCTCAGTCAGTGCCTCCCTGCAGGATCCCCTCCAGGGGCTGGGAGCTCGGGCCTGGGTGGGCAAGATCGGGCAGCTACGGCTTACTGGGGTATGGACCAATCAGCTGCAGATGCAGAGGCGGGACCAATCGGGAAGCGGACCAATCAGGGCTCTCTCTGAGCGACAGCTTGTCTGCTCTGCAAAAACCCCGGACATTTCCTGTTATTTTTAAAATCCCCTGGACAGAGAAAGATGGTTTAAAAAAGAGGCTACGTCCGGGAAAACCCCAGGTGTACGGTAACCCTACCCAGATGCACACACGTGGGCGAGGGCGGAAATAGTGAGGATGCTGTAATGTGGGAGGGCCTTGCAGTGAGGACTCACATCCCAGGCTAGGTTAAGCCAATACTCCGATCTGGGTGCCAGTCCCCTGGGCTAACTGTACCCGTGAAGCAGGCAGGAAGCTGTTGGGGACAGGCTGGAAAAAGAAGGGGCTGGATTGCAGGCAAGAGAAGCTGGGGCCAGGGCAAATATGTATCTCGGGGAATCTTTGACGCTGCAGCAGTGACATATCAGGGCACGAGTTAGTGCAAACCTGAGGGCTACCCTAGCCCGTGCTAGGTCCAAACTATGCCCCCACAATTACTGACCTGGATAAGGGGGGCCAAAGCCACTCTCCTTCCCTGGGCTGAAATGGCACAATCCCCAAAGCTAAACCCTGGGTCACAGACCTGAACATTAGATCCCTAGTGCTGAGGTGGACTCCGTTTACATTTCTCAGCAACTTCCTCGACATCAGCAATCCTTGTAGATATCTGTACTGAAATCAGATCTGACCTACTAAAATCCTCAGCTCTATGGCTGGTAACTGAGAACACAAATCTGAAACATTAAACAAAAAAGGATTCGATTGTAGTGTTCTCTGGATTCAGGTTATGTCCATTTTCATTAGGCAGGAAAAGCAAATGTTCAAGACACAGCCTCAAAGGATTGCTTCTGTGCTCTCCAATTGTTTTTGTTTGTTGTTTTTGTTTGTTGGCTGTCATAGTGTGACAGATGATTTGGCATCTGTCAATTGACGTTTCATTTCACACAGACAAGGGACATTGATCAGAGGAATTATTAAAAGAAATATAATTATTTAAGAGTTATTACAAGAAATATGATTTCTGGCACCTTAAGAGGCCAAAATACAAAAGAAAAGGTAAGTCAGGTCACCGTGCAGGTAGGCAGAGGCCTGGTGTATACACAAGTGTTGCTCTGGTGTAGCTAACTTTTCCCATGCACAAATTTTCTCCCATCGATGTCTTTCTGGACATCTTTGATAGAAGTGACTTTCCTTCTCAACCAGAACAACCCTATTGCTGGGAGGCAGTGTGGACACATTCCACTAGCAGTTTAACGAAACTAACCCAAGTAGTTCTCCCACCACTATCCCCAGTGCACCACTTGTCATGAGACTGGCCTAGAGATGTCAGTATGTACCAAGCTAGCTAATAGAGAACCTACCAGTAGATGGCACTGAAGACAACACAGCATTTATTTTCTAATCTAGCTAGGGTTACCATACGTCCTCTTTTTCCCGGACATGTCCAGCTTTTCGGCAGTCAAACCCCCGTCCGGGGGGAATTGCCAAAAAGCCGAACATGTCTGGGAAAATGGCGGCTCTGCTCCTCCCCTGACTCTTCGGCTCTGTTTAAGAGCCGAGCTGCCCGAGCGCTACGGGCTTCAGGCAGCCCCATGCCTCCAGACCCTGCACCGCTGGCCGGGCACTTCCCCTCCCGGGCTCCGGCGGCGCAGGGTCCGGAGGTATGGGGGCTGCCCAAAGCCGGTAGCGCTGGGGCAACTCGACTCTTAAACAGAGCCGAAGAGTCAGGGGAGGAGCAGAGCCTCCATTTTCCCAGACATGTTCGGCTTTTTGGCAATCCCCCCCGGACGGGGGTTTGACTGCCGAAAAGCTGGACATGTCCGGGAAAAAGAGGACGTATGGTAACCCTAGGAGAGAGATCACTTGATCATTCCTGTTAGG